TATTGAGGATGGAAATTATGCCTTCTATTACATGAAAGAAGCAACTAGCAACTTGGGATAGATTTCTTACAAGGTTTTTGATAGAATGTCAAGAAAGTAAGACATTGTTTTTAGCACAGCTATGTACAAAGGCGATTATTTGAAGTCACAAGAAAGGCAGTGAAGGAGTTGTAGTGAGAAGCCTGCTGACTGGAAACAGTTCATTGATCTTGCATTCCGTGTGAAACAATGATTCTTTTGTTGCCAAGCTCCAAGACAGAAAGTTCATTGTGAGAAATAAGCTTATCATTGGCATCTGAAGATGGTAATACAACAAATTCAGGTGAAATCACATGCCTCAGATCAATGCAGGAAGAGTCATATTTCAGGGTAGTCCTATATTCCAAGTATCAGAGCGCAAATGATATCACTACTTCAGAGTGAAAAATCGTAATAATAATCGTAATGATTTCTTTATTGTGCTAAACTTTGCTTTCAATTACTAAAAGTTACCACTTTATTTGATAGAGGAACAGGAAATAACAAAATTATTTTAAATGTGAGTAAAATTGCTTGTAGATACACACAAAGTACTGCACAGTATATATGGTTCTTCATGCATTTTGTAGTTGGGACAGAGCAAGAGCCTCCCTCTCGCTCCGGGCACCCTTTACTGCGCATGACACAAGGTTTTAGTGTCTTACATTCAAAATTATATTAAACTACTTATTGTTTATGTTATATCAATTAGAATGGCACAAAATCTTAGCTAATAATCCATATTTCAGTAGTATACAACTTTTAAGTTCTTAATTCTACAAAGAAATATATAAAAAATTCCGAATTTCCCCTAGTGTGTCCCATGTGACACATTTGTCTTAGCTTGTCATCATCCCTATTTTATCCATCACCCCTCGAAAATGTACGAAATTAAACGTAAAATACTTTATATAAAATCGTCATTGCTCAAACAAACCCTAATTTTTATAACCTTCAATTTTGTTTGGTTACAAAGCTCTTGAATAGAAAATCAGACCTCTCCTGCCACACCCACCTGTCACATCCTCTCTTTCACAATTTATTAATAGTTTTCTCTTGCGTTTTATTATTTATTACCTATAACCAATAGAAAGTTAAGGTTTTCATCTATCAAATGACGTATTGTAAACGTTTTGGTCTGAACAGATAATCGTCAATTTCACTCAAAGTAGCAACATTGTTACCGTGGGGAAGTTAACGGCTATCTTGGATGAATTTGTAACGGCTCTTGTCGCATAGTTAGAAAGCAAGGAAATTTATGAGACGTAAATGAATTTGTCTACGTTTTGCATGTTATTAGTCTTTAGTGCATTATTTAATTAAATAAAAATTGCTAAGTGCTTTACTATAATTACTATAAAAAATCAGGCTTAACTTTACTCGACAATCGAGGGCAAGAAAAAAGAAGATTGGGTAAGTACTTTATTTCTTGTTTTTCATATTTATTATTCTCAAAGTAACTAAAATTAAAAATACGGATCTTTTTAAATTATATACAGCTAGATTAGGTAAAATATCTAATAATAATAATAATATTAAAATGGTTAACGAGGCACGCACGCGAGCAGCTCGTGGGTAATGTAATTCGATAGCGTAACGTGAGCTGAATGTTTCCCGAGTGATTTACAACTTATAATGCTTGGATAGTAGTTAGACGCGGTTCAAAGGGCAATAAAGCAATAAAATTTGATTATAAATAGATGTATAATGTTACGAACGTAGAGCTACTTATGATAAACTAATGTAGTTTCATGTTACAATTTGAAGTCATTCTACTTCTAGAAAGAAAAAAGGTTAATTTGGGTTTTTTCGATTTTTTTTTCTTGGTGGTTATGAGGTCAGTAGAATTGATTCGTTTTGAGATTGGGTAGAGAAAATATCAGATAAACTCTTAAAGTTTTATTGAAAAAAAAACGTTTGAAATGCATTTAGGAGGTTTTAGGGATTACACAAAGAAAATTTTATATTTTTGAGATGAGGAAAAGTATTTTTAATTTTAACATGAAAATTACTTTGTACACGGACTATTCAAAACAAATATCTATATTGTTACGTCTCCGTTTGTTAAATTGATTTTCCGTAACTTCGTTCTGATGAAACTTTAGCGACACAAGTCCTTACTTAATAAAACTGGTTTATTCTTTCCGAATATAACTTTACGATACACTTACTTTCAGTATTCGCGCTAAAACAAACACTATAACAAACGAACGTTAACTTCAACAATACGTCTCTGACTGCAGTTCAATTACTCATTACTTACACACACATTATTATTCCGTCACGTTGTCACCCTCTTTTATATACCAGGCTACCCTATATCTAGTAAATACTAGAGCATTCACCAAGGTACAGGATAGTTCTAGAAAATAGGTGGCGCCACACCAGTCACGTGACCTCGATGACGCAACAATATTGATGGACAAAACTTTATTAAAATACTTCACTAAGAAATATGACTTTTTGTATGTGAAAGACTTGTAATATTAACCGAAAGACTGCCAAATTTCGTGAATATATACTCAATATATTGAGAGTTATAAGTATTAATTTATAAAGACTTTAAACGAGTACAAAAGGTCAAGTGACTCGATCAAATTGACTGACCCAAGAGGAAAAGAAAAAAACAATGAAAGCATATCAAAAGATACCAAAATATGGACCAGTGCTTGTCTGGCTTGGAAACTCCTGGTAAATACCAGCTTTTGTAAGAGTTCACCTGTATGGCAAACCTAGATTCGACAGAGTTGATAAGTTGAGAATTTTGATAAACGCTAGGAGTTGCACTGATGAAAAGTTAAGTTCCTAAAATAATGTTAACATGGTAAATCTTTTCACTGTGTAATAAATCTCTTGAATAACACATTAGAAGAGTTGTTACGTCTCCGTTTGTTAATTAACTTTCCGTAACTTCGTTCTGACGAAACTTTAGCGACACAAGTCCTTACTTAATAAAACTGGTTTATTCTTTCTGAATATAACTTCACGATA